TTCGGCCAAGCTCATCGTTCTTCATGCGTTTCGTTGTTTCCGACACACGAGGGGACTTTGCGCGGTCGCGAATTTACGAAGCGGTTTTTCGACGAGGCGCGCACCTTCACACGTTGAACGAGTGTACGGTGGAAGCGCGGTGTTCCTTTCATGAGATTAAGGATCGAATCGAGCGTGGATTTAACGATTGTCGACGTCGAGAGATGACTTATCTCTCGACGTTGTGAAACAAGTCGACGAGTGGATAGTTGTCTCGAGCACGGGCCAGTCTCCTTAGTAATCATTCTCTCCGTCCGGCTTTTCAATGTGCACGTGAATTTTTCACCGAGCTCTCTCGCAAGAAACGGAAGGTAATACGCTCCATCGTCGAGCTATTCGGTGTCATCGTGCCGTAAAATATTTTCCCGCAGCACGAAACGCAAAAGAAGCGTCTCCGCGCTATCTTGTACTAATCATATTCCCGGTAATGATCATCAAGCACCGCATCAATTACGACGTTTAGATCTACGACGTGTCGACTAAACGTCATTACGCCCATCCCCGCGCAACCTCGTCTCTCTCGCTAAAATATATAATTACACTTTAATTATCCCCCGCTCGAGAGAGGTGACTCCGCGGTTCGTGTCAGGGGGACGTTCGTGTGCGGGCTAAACACGGTGACTACACGCCGGTGACTACACGACTCTTACACAGACTAGACGATATCCAGTACACGTCCGCGCGGCGCTTCGATCGAGCCTCCCTAATAGAGATTCCGTGAAGCTTGTCGTTTCCTACCGGAAGAAACTTCGATTCCGTGATAACTTAGGGTATGCAATTACCATCCATCTAGCGGATGGCATGGGCAGCCGGGGGTGGTCCGACCGAAGGGTCAAGTAAGGGTGAAAATGTATTGGAGCAGACGGGTCGCGGGCTTATAAATCGACAGCAGCTGGCCGTTGGAAATTCTTGACCCTGATTGCGCGGACGATGCTAATCATCCGCCATTATTCGATCCGTAGTTAGTCCAAGCTAATCCTCCATCGATCCGCCTGACGAGATCGTTCATCCCCTAGGCACTATGTAGCATGGAACTAGTGGGGAGACTAGACGGAAAAAAAATCGACATCAACTCAAGACTCGCGTTCTCATATATGTGCAAGATTATGTGAAAATAAAACTTGCTTATGCACGAAAGGAATTGTATCTAGTTCGGCGAAAAATATCATATTTAAATTATTCGAGAATAATTTCCATGAATTGAGAGGAAAAATATTGGATAGAAAGAACGATATTTTCAAACTAAGCGTTGTGTGTCAGTTTGAAGATATCGTTTTTTTTATCCAATATTTTTCTCCTCACAGTTCACGGGAATTATTCTTGAATAATTTGAATGAATCCGACATTTTTAGTGGAACTATATAGAATTTCTTCATGTAACAAGTTTTATTCTCATATAAGATTGTGTATTCTCGCTTATGTATGAGAATATGAGTCTCGTGAATTGACACTAATTTTTCCTTCGAGTGTTATTTCTTTGAAGTAACATGGCTGGCTAATCGATCGGGGGCTAATCCGAGCCTACGAAAAACGAGAATCAATCGAGAATCAAACGAGAATGTCGCACACATCCGAGATGAACGTATTCGCAAAAAGTGAAGTAGACTTCCGCAAGTTTCTCTTCCGACTCGCCCGACTCCTCCCGCCGGTGGCTCATCGCGTCGACGATTATGCGACTCGGTCATTCGCGTTGCGAATCGCACCGCTCAAGCCATTGTGCATTCGCCCCGCGAATAGCGCAGAGGAGATGGAGCGAGGGTGTCTGTCACGTATATATTCGGGGTGTCTTCGAGCACACAAAGGGGAAAATCCACGGCCCTTGGTCGACCCAATGGGGACCACCAAGGTGCTCCCTTTCGGTCGGGGAACCGCTCTCCTCTCATCCTCTCTCTCTCTCTCTCTCTCTTTCTCTCCCTTTTTCTCGCTCCCTCCGGTCCCTCTTCTCCCTGCTTCTCCGCCCATATTCGATGACGGATCGTTCCGGTGAAACGAGTTTTGCTGACTAACGGCTCGCTGTTTCTTTCGCTCTCCGCGTTCTCCTCTTTTTTTCTCGCCCCGGCTTCGATCCACCACCACCGTCGCCGTCGACACCGCAGCAACCGCCATCATCGTCGGCGATGGAATTCCGATCGGAAGATTAGAGAGAGAGGAAGCGCTATCGTGCGCGCATGCGGTAGTAGTAGCGCACTCGTCTCGGATCGTCCATGAAGAACTTGCGCCCGCGCGGAGAAATCTCGCGAGAGAGTTACGACTCCCGCGGTCGAGTTAGAGGTCGATGGAGCATCTTTTTCCGGCAGGAAGAAAATCGGGGCCGGGAAAGGATAAGGGCGTCGGCGACGGGGTACGGCGAGAAGTTTTCCCGTGCGGACCCATCTCGGCGTTGGCGAGTAAATAAATAAACTACGAAGGGAGAGAGACTCGAGAAGTATCGAGATTTCTTCGTTGTTCGATCCGACTCGCGTTTCAAGCGACTTCCCGTCCGTGCCATCCACCCGCCTCGTTCTCCTCTTTCCTTCCTTTTTCATTCCTTTTTCCCTCTCTCCGTTTCACTTTTATTTGTAATTTTATTTATCGTTTTCCTTTAACGTAAACCGCAAACCCGATACGTACTTTATTGCTTCGCTTCTTACCCGAGATGCCTTTATGAGTTCCGCTTACACGATTTACCTTAGCGAGGTAAATGCGAGAAAAGGCCTTTGGCCGTCTTCCGTATTGTCTCTTCCACCGTGGCCGCATCCATCGACATCGCGAAGTTTCTTCGGGTCCACCGCTCTTCTATTTTCCGTTCGATCTCCCTCCGTTCCCCTCGCATCCTTATCCCTCTCTCCCTCCCTTCCTCCCTCCCACACGCCGCGGCGAAGCGCTATACCGCTCGCGGTCTTAATAATTCCGAATGGAAGTGGAATTTGTTCACGAGCCGTTGCTCTCGCGGCGCGGTTTCGCGCTCGTTGCAACAATGATGGTATAGTTTTTCGATTTCGACGCACGTGTAAAATCTACTATTCGCCCCGGGAAGTCTAGTTCTTCATTACGATCTACCATTTATGTTGTAACGAACGAATACCGGCAATGGTTTCTCGCCGCATACCGCACGCTCGCTCGCTCGCACACTGTGCACACACGGTGGTGGAGTATTCACGCCCATTGGCTTGGAACCGAGTTGATATACATTAGTGATTATGTCGCGATACTTTGCTTTTATTGTGCGGTCCGTATAACCGACGAATTATTTAGCGAGCCCCGGCCGCAGCCGCGAGCCGGTCATTTATCGTTACTATATTCGCGGCTGTAACGTTATATTGCCGGAGATCGCGCACACTGCGGGCCGCTCGCTCGAAAACTGATCGAATTAACCCTGGGAGCTCTCTTTCCGTAGGCGTAACTTTATTAGCAGTACAAACGAATTAAATTATCGATTGCAGAGTTAACATAATCACGGCCGGCGGAGGAGCGAGCGGGGCTGGCGGGGAGTAGGAGGAATTGGTGCTAATTACCGGGGGAGGTCTCGAGAAAAAGATACGGGGACTCGAGAAGTTTTCTTTACCGAGCACACCGTTCTTGGCGAGCCCGAGAGTAGAATTTTGGGGAAAGGACATCGAAGAGTTTTCCAACAAAGAGTCCGCCGTTTTGTGTATCATCAAATCGTAACATCGTAATTGGAGAAAATAATGAGGCAGGAATGTGCCGGAACGAAAGGGGGGTATAATAGGTGCTCTCCGGTGCTCTCCGGAAGAGAAATGCAGAAATTATATAACGATGGTGAAGTAGCGTCTTGTTTCAGCGGCATGCGCATTATCTCACTTGCGTATAAAATCGCGAGTGCGTATCGATCGATAAGCAGCGGAACACATCTTGTTGGTGCGCACTGTAACATTGTTTAACTCGATCATGTTTACATGCTTTATGAACAAAGGCAGGCAAGAAGCTTTGACTCTTCACATCAAGTTTCCCTCCGTTGTTTTAATAATTAAGCGCTTTATCAGGAGAGGAAGAGAGAGAAAAATCGGATAAAAAAGAAGAGCGAACTTGTCGGGTATGTTGAAAATTTCTCAAAAAAAAAAAGAGGAGAAAAATACCCCCCCCCCTTTTTTTTTAATAAATATGCTCCGCGTAATGATTTCAAGAGGAACGTGTTTTTATAAATTAAAGACTGAAAGTCTCTAAAATTTTCTGCAAATTACTTAACCAACGTTAATAAATACTTTGTCACTTTAAGTTTGATGATGCGCAGTGTGAAATGATTTATAATTTATGACGAGAATAAAAGATAGAGGGGAAGAGTTTGAAATGTAAATTATAAATAAAACCGATAATTTTGAAGCGAAATTAAAACGTGGATGTAACGTAAGATCGCCAGCTCAGCTTAATTGGTCCCAATAAAAAAAAACGATCACGGTAGAATGGCTCTAAAGAGCATGGAAAGTAAGTCGCAGGCCTAAAGCTTAGGGAGTTTCCTTCTAAATAAGGGCTTAAGGGCTCCTAGATCGACATATCCGGCGAGGGATTTTGGATATTTTCGGAAACGGAGGAGATTTACCTTCTTAAGTAGAACAGGAAGACAAATAAAGTCAGCCAGTGACACATCTATTTCCAGTCGTCGGCTAGCAGACTAAATTTTTAAGCCACTGTAATCGGATAATCAATAGGTGCATTGTTAAGAAATTTTGCCGCGTATTATCGTCTCGCTGTGACGTAATATGAATATGGTATGTCTCGATGAATAATTTCGGATACACCATGTATTTCCGTCAGTGCGACGAGAAATAATTCCGGGATGTTCCATTGTTTTTTCCCACCCTTTTAAAGTGGATGTCGTTACGTGATAAAATCTTGATACCACAGTCGCGATAAAGCAGCACAATAATCTGACAGAGGTACACGCACGACTGCCGACATTACGACTATGTCGCGCGCTCGGAAAAGCAGTTGACGTTTGTATGGCTTATGGCGAGCATTCTCACCTGCATTCCAGAGTCGCCTCGTCGCCCCTGAGGGTGTATGCCGGGACATTTACGTGAAGTAGCTTCAGAGCAGCGACTGAAACAGAAAAAGGGATAGAGAGAGAGCTCGCATGAGATCACATAAATGTCAATTGCGAGTATATACGCCATCGCCCGGGGGTCCTATCGACGCGATGTCGTCGGAAATGCGAGACAACGATTCTACGAGTGTTCGATTATATCGCAGATAATAAAAGAACGAAGGAGAGACGTTCTTCGGTTAGGGAAATGTCGGAAAATGATTTTTTAGTTACGACTACTTATAGCACAATCGTATTTGGAAAAGTTGCTCTTTCCGGGAGGGAAATTTTATTTTTCTACGCGCGAGTAATTACGAAATGTTTTTCACATATCGCGAAATTGTTGTCTGGATCGCTTTTTCCATATATTTTGGGACATTGTTGATATTCAATCAAAAACAAATAACGTTGGGCAATCGGAATAAAAAATCCCTTATATTTTTTCCGTTAATTCAGAATTTGCGATGAACTGTGTGTCATAAAAAAATTGTATTCTTTCACGCGCGCGTATACCTACACATGTTTTTCGGTTATCCTACAACACGTCTAAAGTTTCGCGGAAATGGATAAAGCACCATCAAAAAGCTTCGCTTGTTACGTCGAGTTAGATCACGCCAAAAACCGGCCGACAAGAGTGGGTATTTTTAAGTACCGCTTGAATATTACTCATCGTACCAATATGTAGCTCGGTAGAGAACGTTTTCAAATGCGGAGCGCTTTCTTTCACGCCTAAATCGGTAAATCTCTTGACCCACTGCCGGGCGCACAATAGGGCCATTAAAAAAACGACACTCCGGTTACTCGACCTACCGCGAATCTTTTCGCGGAGAAGTATCTCGTGTCGACCTTCGGCTTGAGCTTTCAATAGTGACGAGGGTCGGAAAAGCTCGGAAAATTGTGCCGGGATTGGATGATCCGGAGGATTGGAAGTGGAGCTAGATGCTCAAATAATGGAAGACAGACTCTATTACGACATTCTTCGTGGTTTACCGCCGTTTTCCTATCTGCCTTTGTCTTCTTACCTCTCGACCATGCTCGACCAGTCGAAAACTATCAAGTTTTTACGAAGCGTATGTTTCGCAGACATTAATGAAACTTTACGTTATCGAGAAGGAGAGGATCTTCTTGCGATGCGATACGCGGCCCTTCCGTCCGTCGGGTCAGTTTTTTCGGTTGACGTCGTCGATCATTCCTCCACAAAATATTCTTAGGAATTTTAATTAAAACTTAGAATTACCCTTCAGGCATCTGTGATATATGCCTTATTTTATAAGCGGAGTCGGTGTCTCTCCACGTAAGGCTAAATTAGGTTTCTCGTTTAAGCGATTCGACATTTCCAATTCCCGTTTCTGTCCCCGCCGGATATATAAATAAGAAGAAATTGTCGAGCGCAGACGGTCTAAGTTCGCCTTTTGTATTTTTTAGCGTGGCGGAATATATGTGTACGCGCGGAGTACATAAGTATGCGCATGCAACGACTAAGCGGGGGTCTCGGTATCTAACTTCGTCGTCATTGTCGTCGTCGTCGTTGCCGTCAGGAAGACGGGAATGAACGTGGAGAGAGCAAAAAGGTTAAGAGCGAGAATTCCTAGGCGGAGACGGGCTAAAATTTTCAGTACCAGATTAAATGTGGAGGCTAAAACATTCCAGACAACGGTCTTGTCTCATTCTACGTTCGTGCATTTGTAAATGTAACCCGTAGACAGTTCGTAAGACGTAGATCTCGTTTACATATTAATTCGTCGTAAAATAAAGCGAAGACTCCACGCGTTCGTACGGCGGCAGCGATACACAAAAGACGACTGAGTTTATTCCATACACAAGCTCGCGGGAAAATAGAACGTTTAAGATTCTATAGAGCGTGGTTCGATCCTTTGAACGGTTCTTTCGATGCCTTCTGTTGCACCTTCGCGAAGATGCGGCCTGTCGCTAAATAGGGCATCCGTTGTACACTTGTAATTTAGGTCAATGTGGACGAAAAAGTCCCTACCATTTTGCAAACAAGCACACAGAATTTTGAGTTATTAATTATCGCAAGTGGCCATGAATAGAGGCTACTTTAATTAATAACTCAATAATTTGCTCGGTTATTTGCAAAATGATGAAGGACTTTTTTCTTCACATATTGATCTAAACTACAAACATATGATAAATGTCCCACTTAACGACAGACACCTTATATGGAGGAATCGGCTGCAGGCTGAATCGACGAAGACTTCTGTGAATTTCAAAACGTGGCACAGGTATCGGTATTGTGAATTTCAAAACATGGCACAGGTTTATCGCTCGAAATGCTCGATCGGGGAGCCAGTTTCATTTGAAGTTATTACGTATCAACTACCGCACCTCTCTCGAGAACGCGTATATCATTGAGACTTAGTAACTTTTCAGCGCGACCAAGTGGATTTCATCGACGCGATGCTCGCTCCTCAGACTCTCGGCAGCGCGAGCGACGTCTATCTTCTTACCCTTTGGCTGGCCTGTCGATCTTTCGGAGCTTCCGGTGCTTTACCTGACATGATAAGTACCAAAATTCGAACGTCACTTGGAAGTTTTCGGCCGTCCGAGGACATGTCTAAACAGTTTAGCCAGGGACGCGCGCACGAGAGACGTCGAGCAAACCGAAACTTTCTGCGGGAACCCCGCGAGCTTTCGTAATTGGAGAATGTGGGGAAGAGGCGGAGAAGGACTTGAGTCTGCCTCTCGATTCTGCATATACCCGGCAAAGTAAATTGGTAAACTGGTAATGTTCATCTCGTTGGAAATTGTTATGCTCTGTCAGGAGCAACGGGTGACGTAGGTCCGAGGGCGAATCCGAGTTTCGAGATCGTCCAAAGAGGATTAGATAAGGGTGAACTCTCTGCGATATACAACGACGCGATGCGATGGGCTGTGCGCAGTTTTGGGAATGCGTCATCGTGAAAATCGATTCGATACACTGCGCTCTCTACGTTTTCGGCATTGCCTCCGCATTCGCGAACTTAACTCCGACGTGTGCGATCGCATCGGCGCGAAAAGTTCCTCTCCTCATAATCTTCCTCTTTCCCTTTTTCACGAAGTCATTCGCGGATACTAGTTAGCAGGGCTTTCATGCGAGGGCAACGCGACGCGTGCAGAGCGGAAAAACGCGTGCGCAGATGTGCCCGTACACGTGACCATTGTCCGGAGAGGTAAAATTCGACCGTTCGGCACAATTGGGAGCGTACAAACGGGAAATAACGAACAGGTTTGGCGTTAACGATGCGATGTTACGCTATTCTATCGGCAGGTCGGAAGGAAAAGTGATCCGATTGTCGGAGCGCGCTACGGACGAGCGTAAAACTCGATGTCCAATTAATTTGCGAGCCGAGTCGCGACGATTGGGCGATACCGTCGGTGTCTTGCCGATCGCCGGGCTTCGTTTCGTAGCTTACGAACGACGCTTCCGGTGTGTGTTCGGCGACCATTGAATCGCGCGAATCTCAGCTTCGAGAGAGATGAGCGAATCCCGGCTCGCTCTCGACCAGTCCAACCTTTGGTCCCGACGCTGGCCGAGAGGTGCGCCGATTATATTCCATCGAGAATCGCGCTTCGATTCGGCCGGAGAATTAATTGCACCGGGATTCGGCTTTGCATAGCCGCCATAGACGTCGTTCTTCAAGAGCGAAACTGCCGCCAAGTTCGAGGCAGCGAATACGCGCTCACCGCTTACGATGACTTGGCGGCTCTGCCGAGATTTGCATCGGGGACTTTGAGCAATCCGGAGTTCGCTTTCTTGTAATTACAACACGGTGCGCTTATAACTTGTAATAATAATGATAACAATTGCGCGTTAAATTATGCATCCCGGAAATTGTGTCTATATAATTCGGGGAACGTAACATCCGTATTTATTTACGTCACGTCGATTTACTCGTTGAAAGAACGATACCTCGTTACGTGACAGACAATTTCGCATAGGTCAGCTTTTAGGCTAAGATTTCATTCGTCGTACGACGAGTTCATCGGATACTCGTATATCGACTGGCTGTCGGATGAAATATTTCGAGGATGTCCGGAAAGAATGTTAGAGACTTCAGAGAAATGCTCTATCCAACAATTAATCGGCGCATCCGGCGATAATTTTCGTATGTAAATCTTAATCTTAAACTGCGGGCCGCTCGGAAGCAAGATGATGATAATTATGGCGGTGCCGACGAGAATTTGGTTGAATATTTCAACAGCGAACGAAATATTTACATCGACAGGGGAGTTATAATTCGCCAGCTCGCAACCGGGGGATGCTACAGCATCATGGCCCTCATCAGAAAATAGCCCTTTTATAGTCCCCTATATTTATTTGTTTGCCAGTAACTGAGGCGCTCCTGAAATAGTTTTAGCATCAGACCCGGAAAGTCACCATCCGTCACTGCCGGCTCATGATGTCACGCAGTGAGAGTATCACGCACGATAGTACCAAAACAATGGGTAAGAATGTAAACTTATCCCCTCCCACTGATGGAAAACCGGTGCCGCTTATCACTGAATGCCGAGATTACAACAGTCATAAGTGGACCTTCGAGAAGGTAGAACGCATTTTCGCGCGCCGCGTGTTTTTCGGAGTGTTGCCATTGAGCCTAGAATCGACAAGCGGTACACATGGAACATCTGCGTCGGTGTGTCATTCTCGTCGATTGATTAAAATATTTCGTCGGCTTTTGAGTTATTTCATCGGACTCTTGTCGCGTTCATCGCGTGTATTTCTCCGTTCGAATCGCACCTACGCGAGTGTTAGTGCAAGTGTCATGACGAAACAGCGGGATGGTGGATGCCGCGACACGAGTAAAGGTACGTCATATAGTGTGTTAAATCAATGGTGTGCTAAATCATTTACCATGCAGAGGTTACGTTAGGTTAGCTTAGGTTAAGAAGTGTGATGAACTCGCCGAGATACCCGAGTCGAAATTTAGGCCAGCATTCGTAGTCAATCGTCATTTGATAAATCATAGTTCCATTAATTTCAAATTATTTGTCAACCTGTGTTTATTATTAGATTATT